TTTCACAATATTCTAATATTCTGAGATGCGCCTATAATTTTATACACTAGTCCATGTTTCAGGTCTCTCTGTGGTTTCATAACTAAAATTCAGTTTACAATTACCGACATCTCCAAGTGATTAAGTTTTACTCCATAGGTCACAGCAGGATCCCTTGTAGATAAATTAGGATCAGCTGATGGATGACAGAATGTCATTGCACACCAGAAGTGGATTTAATAAGGATAAACAAACAACAAAGCAAATAGTCATCCCACAGGGGGATAAAAGGATTTGAATACCAGTTTCTGCATTTCTACATGCTTTTATCATATTCAGCAATATGTTATGATTAAGATGGCTATCATGGAGTTCAATTATTCTGCCATATCTCATCCACAGAAAAGGCCATTTTACCATGCGTGTTTAACACAGCACCCTACTGCTGAATGACATTCAGGTATTCCTTTAAGCCATACTTTGAAGAATTTGACAGATCTAAACAGGTAATGTTCCATTTGCAACTTCAGTCACAACATGAAGAAATGTTAAATTAAAATATGTACTATATATATACAGTATATATATGCGCATATATATGTATATATATGCACATATATATATATATATGAAGTCATAGTATCAATAGTTTTATCAAGGTCAGTGTAAATGAATTTGTTAGCTTTTGAGACTGTTAATGTTCAAGGCTTTAGTACTCTTTTTTTATGATTAGGATTATACTTAACTGAAAATACATGCTGTTTCTATTCCTTTCTTTCTTTTAAAGAAAAGCATCAAATTTTGCATTTTTTAATTCATCTACATCAAAATTCCACCACCACTTCATTACAGTTCCCAGTGTAAGCTGGAATTGTAATGAAGTGGTGGTGGAAACATCAGCTGGCGGAGTTCATCATCAAATTCAGTAAAATAAACACATTGGTGCTTGTCTCCATAGGTGATGTTACGCCGTTGCTTGGCTGATTAAACCTGTCAAACTGTGGCTGTCCTGTTGACTTGTCCTTTGAAAACAGCTGCACTTGCCCTATGTACCACAAACAACACACTTACACACAAACACATGCAGGCAAATACACATTCACCCATATGCATGAGTGCAAGATGAGCAGAGCAGAGTCAGACCTTCTCTGCTGGTTGTATGTGAGTGCTGATCCTGCTCTTATACAGCAAACTAAGCTCTCTCTGCTTAATACCCAACAGAAAAGCTCTTTAGCTGTCATTATGCGCCGGCCTCACCCTGCAGCCCCTCAATAAATGTCCTCTCATCTCCCCTGACATCCCTAACCTCACTCTCATTCCCATCCGCTCTATACAATACACAACTTTTGATTAGCAGATACTGTACTGGTCTCAGACCAACAACTGTTTTTTTCTCTCATCCCGCCTCAGTAGTAGTAAATGACAAAGATGAGGTTTACAAAGCCATGTCTTACTTAATCCAAGCTTTTATAATAATAACATATAAGATAAGAAGGTATAATATCCTAATACAATATTACTACAGTAAAAGATACCCCAGATTATCAAATTTAGATATAAAGCCTAAAACAAATGGATGGAGCAATGTTAGCCTAATGTTGCTGCTATTCCTAATTCCATGAGAACACAATATTTAGGACAACATTCCTTTTTTTCTTCACTTGAGACTTCATAGCCAAAACTTATGACATTACTTGTGAATGGCAAGAGTTTGTCCCCTGCTACCACATGACTGTAAATGAAATGTAACAATGTATAAGAGAAAGATTTTCTTTCGTGTTATCTCAAAGGCTCTAAGTATGTATTCCTTAAAATGTGCTTTCTGCATCTACTTAACTAGACTCTTTTTCAGTTTGGGTAATGCATGTTAAGTGTTGACCTTATATCATCCTATCAATTTTCATAGGAATTAAGTTAGGATTTTGGCAGGGACACTGACTGTTTTTAAAGCCAATGCAGATTCAGTTTAGCTGTTTGGGTCACTGACCTGTTAGAGCATCAGTTTCCTCTTAAATGCCCAGTCTATCTGTGAAAATCTGTGCAAAACAGAACCCTGAGGGACCCCAGTAGTGAGGCTACAAGATTATCCTGCAAGTGCGGCCCTTGAGGTAGGATGTGAACAGGGAGCTAAGCTGAGTATGTAAACCATCGAGTCATTCTACCTCTTCCCCATGAGCTGTTTACAAGTATGTGAACAACAACTACACTTTAAAATGCAGGATTGTCAAACACTGACTATTGTGGCAGAAAGCCTAAACCACACCATGACCACAGAGATGACTTGGGAGGAAAGAAGCTTTTTAAACACGTGACACACTGCCAAGTTAATATTGACAGAGATATGAGGTATTGCGGCAGGGGATGGGACAGCAGAGCTCATAGAGAACAGCTGTCCACTGCTGCTTTGGATCGACGCCAGTGTAAAGCCCAGCGGGCAATGAAACAAATACACAAAAAGCCTGTGAGATCTGAAGACTTCTGCCCAAAGTGTCACCCAACCTTCTTAGGCCTTTAGATGAAATTTATGTCTGCTCTCCAGTTAATTTCAAATTAGATTTAACTGTCTGTATTTTGCTGTGGCTCACTGACTCCCTTTTCTATAACCCTCTTCTACCTTCGTTTAGCAAGTGATTCTAGTTTTCATGTGCCAAAAAATATTGCTTCCACCTACGCAAGTCTCTGGAACAGCACACAGCCTATTGAGCAATACAGGCCAGTGACAGCGTGTCAAGACACAGACTCCTTCTTGCTTCGGGAGTGTCTGAGCCAGCGGGAAGTGATTTCTTGCATTAAAACAAAGTAGTAGTCAACTGATCAACACATCTCCCTTCGTTCAGCCATTTTTGATTCATTATTGTGGTTCTATGGTCCCCAAATTACATTTTCATTAAGCCGTTCTAGCAACAGGCAGCTGTTTTCAGCAAAAAAGGTGTGATTAACTCCTTGTATACTACCTGCCCAGCCCCCAAAGGCAGACAGTGTTAGCGACTTGCTGGTGAACATAGCGGAGCATTTAGCAGCTAAAGAGCCAGATGTTTTGTTCAGGTGTTAGTGAAGGCTAAATCAAATCTAAAAGGAGAGTGAAAATTGCACACAGGGGAGGCTGTGGTTCAAGAGGTAGAGCGGGTTACCAGTTAATCGGAAGGTTGGCAGTTCAATCCCCGGCTCCTCCAGGCTGCATGTCGAAGTGTCCTTGGACAAGATACTGAACCCCAAATTACCTCTGGTGGCTTTTCCGCCAGTGTGTGAATATTATTTTCTGTTTGAGCACTTAGGCTCAGTGAATGAATGCAGATGTAGTGTAAAAGCGCTTTGAGTGGTCGAAAAGCCTGGAAAGGTGCTATGCAAGTACAGAGCATTTACATTTTTCAGGTGGTCAGATACATGACTCCACAACGAGTGCTAATGTTGCTCTGTGTCTGCTGAATGTGTGAAACTGACAACTGTTTGCAAACATATTAGCTGTATTAACGTCATAAGGAGTTATAGCTAATGTATTATCCACCCAGCCACCATAGTATTCTCTTAACACACAAGTAAATCCAGCTTCAGTCTGACTTTTGATGACCAGAGCCAACAAGAAACATCAAAGGCTTGCTTCTATTGTGTAAAAAACTGAAAGCATCACTTTTATTCTGTGCTAACCGGGAAAATGCCTCATTTACATGGATTTTATTTTAATACTTCCACAAAGACTTTTCAAGAAATAATTCAGCTTTCCTGATTTCCAAGTTACCAAGTCGTGGCTCATTTATAGTCAATTTGTAAATTCGCTGATAAAGAAAAATAGATTCTTCACTCTTCCTTTCAATTTTATAATGTTGCAGTCATTGCGTTCATTTTCAGCTCGGGCACTGCTCCAGATATCCTAACAATGCCTTGTTCCTGTTCATTATTTTTTGAATAACATCAAGTTCCTTTCACTAGCTGTCTAATGCTCTTCAGAAAACTACCTGTGACCATTATTTCTTCTTCTCTCTCCCTGACAGGAGGTAAAGTACTTCCAGTTTCCCGGAGAGCTGCTGATGAGGATGCTGAAGATGCTGATTCTCCCACTCGTTGTGTCAAGGTACTGATGTCTGTCTCCTGCACTTCATTATTACCCTCACTGCTTTATCCCATTTACCCATTTGGTTTTTTTGGAGTTTTCCATGATATGTGTTCTGTGAGTTATTATACAATATGTAAGCCTAAGTGTACTTTCAAATACTGTAGGTACTGCAATGGTATGCTGAGAATTAGAGAGAAATCTGAGTCAAGGGAGAAGATATAAAGTGCACCAAAAAATACATTGTTCGAGTATTAGGTGCACACCTTTCAGGCCTCAGGAGTGACGGCACACATATAGAATGTGCTCCAACTCATATTAATGTTGGATCATAAAAATAATAAATGGAGATTATTATTATTATCAGTAATCATCAACCAAACTGCAGGAGTCAGACGTCAGAAGTCCACAGGCAGCAGGAACAATATCCACAGACTGATCAGCTAACAAGCACTGGGTCTAATGTCTGACTGTGGAAAAGAATCTAGCGAGCCTGAAAGGCCTAAGTGGTCTCTTTGGTATTCTTCAGTGTACGTGCTGCAATTTGACATTTATGAAGCGTGTCGAGGGGAGTGAGTATGTGTGAGAACTAGTATCAGAAGCCGGTGAGTCGGGTCGAGTTCCAGCAAAGGGGTTTGTAGTACTGAATGGTCTCAACAGCCAGTGCATCCAGCTATGGTAAGGGGAAACATGTATCAGTCGGTCACCACCCCAAAGCAGATCTGAGATTGTTTAGTTAATTTTGTTGCCAGCACTACAGCCACAGAAAGGGGAAACGTTAACAATAAGGTGATGTATGATTTTCAACTTGTGCTGCTGTTAGCCTGCTCATGCTTTTTCTCTTGAGCACCAAGTAAATTTCTTTAAGCTAATGTTACTGTAGGCAGTAGCGTTTTATAAAGTTTAAATTCAAACTGATGATGCAGGTCAAATACAAATTCAATTCAGTTCAGTTTTATTTATATAGCACCTAATCACAGCAACAGTTATCTCAGAGCGCTTTTCATAAAAGAGCAGGTCTAGACCGTACTCTGTTATGTTATTTACAGAAACCCAACAGTTCCCACCAAGAGCAAGCACTAGGCGACAGAGGTAGAAACCTCGAGCAGAACCATGGCTCAGGGGGGGGGCGGCCATCAGCCTCGACCAGTTGGGGGTGAGAGAGAGAGAGAGAGAGAGAGAGAGAGAGAGAGAGAGGGCAAGAGAGGAACAGAGAGACAGAGAGAGAGGTATGGAAGGAGAGAGAGGGGGGAGGCAGCCTACACAATATACACACACAGGTACAGACAGTAAATGTAATGTTGCAATAGACTGAATGAAAAATGGTACAGATATTTATAGTAGTGTTAATGATAATAATCGTAATGCTTAATGATTATAATAACAAAGGACTAGTACCAACAATTGTAGCAGAGGGTGTCGAGCAGGAACATGGGGGCTGGCTCAGGACTCACCTGAGCCAGCCCCAACTATAAGCTTTATCAAAGAGGAAAGTCTTAAGCCTACTCTTAAATGTGGAGATGGTGTCTGCTTCCTGAACCCAAACTGGAACCTGGTTCCACAGGAGAGGAGCTTGATAGCTGAACGCTCTGGCTCCTAGTCTACTTTTGGAGACTCTAGGAACCACAAGTAACCCTGCAATCTGGGAGCGCAGTGCTCTAGTAGGGTAGTAAGGTACTATGAGTTCTTTAAGATAAGATGGTGCTTGACCATTAAGAGCTTTGTAGGTGAGAAGAAGGATTTTAAATTCTATTCTGAATTTTACAGGAAGCCAATGCAGAGAAGCTAAAACAGGAGAAATATGATCTCTTTTCCTGGTTCCTGTCAGAACACGTGCTGCAGCATTCTGGATCAGCTGTGTGAGAGTGTTAATGGACTTTTTCGAGCAGCATGATAATAAGGAATTGCAGTAATCCAGCCTAGAAGTAACAAATGCATGGACTAGTTTTTCTGCATCATTTTTAGACAGGATGTTCCTAATTTTTGCAATATTTCGTAGGTGAAAAAAGGCGGTCCTTGAAATTTGCTTAATGTGGGAGTTAAAGGACATGTCCTGATCAAAGATAACTCCAAGATTCCTCACAGTGGTGCTGGAGGCCAGGGTGATGCCATCCAGGGAAACTATATCTTTAGATAATGCATCACAGAGGTGCCTGGGTCCTAGAACAATTGCTTCAGTTTTATCTGAGTTTCACACATTTTACAGGTCATCCAGGTTTTAACATCCTGAAGGCACATTTGAAGTTTAGCTAACTGATGAGTTTCAGCTGGCTTGATTGATAGATAATTGAGTATCATCTGCATAACAATGAATGTTTATGGAATGTTTCCTGATAATATTGCCTAAAGGAAGCATATATAAAGTGAAGAGGATTGGTCCGAGCACAGATCTTTGTGGAACTCCATGACTAACTTTGGCGTGCATGGAGGACTCATCGTTAACATGTACAAGCTGAAATCGATCTGATAAATAGGACTTAAACCAGCTTAGAGAGGTTCCTTTAATGCCAATGAAATATTCCACTCTCTGTAATAGGATCCGATGCTCAATGGTATCAAATACAGCGCTATATAATAATTTGTGACAGCTCCTACTGCACCATCTTCTGGATTTGGCAACATGTCCTCATACCTAAATAACAAAATAGGTAATTTGTCAATACCTCCAAAGCCACATATATTACCGTTAGGTAGGTCACGTGACATAGGTCAGTAACACTATTAAACTTAAAACTCTAAATCACCCAACACTGACTTGGTTTTACATGAGACTCGAATGCTGGTCTCCTGTGTGACAGTCCTAGGTTTGACCCAATCAGCCCACTTCTTCCTTTGCTACCGTCATATGGCCACTACAATAAAAAGGAAATATGGGTCGTAATAAGCTGCTTGAACAAACAACATATACAGCTGTTTTTCTGGTGAGGACGGGCTGGGATTTTGAAAGCTACAATAGGCAACAGATAAAATATGAATGGTAAACGTTTAATAGTGTAACAGCCCTCAGAGGTTTTCCTTTTAAAGAGGTGGTATTATGCTTTTTGGCTTTTTCCCTCTCCTTTATTGAGTTATATATCTTTTTTGTGCATGTAACAGGTTTGCAAAGTGAAAAAGCCCAAAGTCCAGCCCAAAGGGAGTTCCCATCTCCCACAGAAAGCTCTGCTCTGAACCGCTTGAAAACAGCTTGTTTGTAGTCCAGGACTTCACTTCCTGTACTTGTGACATCACAATGAAAACACTTCATAAAGCTTGCCAAGCGGTTAGCGGGGTCAGGCACGCCCTCACGCCCTCAAACCAAGCTAGTATACTAAAATGTAAGGTGAAGACAAGACAGACTGCTGATTGGTCAGAGAGAATCGTTACTATTCACTGCATCATCATTGCGTGCGCCAGACAGAGGCCAGCAACAGAAAGTTTATATATTACAGTTTTCGTAAGGAATTTCATCACTAAATCCACTTCTGAGAAGTTTTGAGGTGAGAAATCAGCTGTGTAGATTTCGAATATTGACAGTTTTACGAGAAGTGATGGCAGAACAAAAAATGTGCTTGAATATTGTCGGAGTTGAGGTGCTCCGCAAGTGGCTGCGGGGGAAGCCTGCGCCAACCCGCGTGAGGAGCGTGTGAGGCCGGCCAGCCACTCGCTCACAGTGCCCTCTGCTCCCGCCGTCACACAGAACGCTGCAGCAACAGCGGCAGAGGAAAACAAAGCTGGAAGGTTTTCATACCGCTGATGTGGAGTGCCATCACATCAGTGTATCGTCAGGACTAGTCTCACATGTTGCTGCTGGAATACACAAGTTTAATTTCATAAACAAGCATATGAACGCATGTTCAAGTGCGATGCGGTTATCTTTTCCGGGCTGCAGATTATAAACACCATGGCCTGTCAGCATTTATCAAACGTAATAAATAGTAGTATTTCACTCTAATATTTTTCAAACACAAAGTCTGTAAAGAAGCCAACTCAGATAGACCAGCAGCGGTTAGCAAGACCAAGATGAGAGAGAATCAGTGCAGCTGCACAGTGACTTAACATTAGCCGACATCAGACTTTGACAGGAGAAAACGTTGACACGAGAAAAAGTTTAAGGTTACTTTACTGACTGCTGTTTCCAAAACTCACTCCAATTTCTCTTCCTGTGCCCAGAAAGATAGTCCCTCCTTATCCTCCCATCAACATGGTAAACACTGGATTTTACCTTTGATTTGTTTTTTTGCAAGGTTTCACAATGGTAACAACGTCCCGTTTCACGTAACCCTGTAGTTTTATTTAGAAATTGTAATGGACATTGCGTATTTATGATCGCAAACTTGATCGGACGTTGCAGATGTAACGTTATTGTTGCTAACTTGATTGCGGAGCCCTACACATCCAAGAACAACGCTAAGAGGTGTAAACCATTTTACATTTAAAAAGGGTCCAGCGACGCCTATGGATGTGCCATTGATTTTAACACTTTGAGGCGTGAAGTACTGTAATATGGCAAAACTGTATGTAATCAATTATAGAACCAATTATAGAAATGGCTTCTTACCTCTCAGTTTAAAGTTATGTAATAGAAAACGTTTAATAAACATAACATGGTCAAATGTACGTAGAGTACGGGAGGAGGGCAAGAATGGTGTCCTCTCCCTTTTAAATGAGCCAGAGACATAGTGACCTCATGCAAATATTGATTCAATTCTAGCATTTAACGTCTTAGACAGGTCCTGAGCTCAAAGTCATGTTAATGTATGAAGTAAAAAAGTATCTTCTCTGCCCCCGTAGTGTCAACCATCTGTCTGTGTAAAGGTCCCACCTATCTGTCTGCCCACGTCTGTTTGGAGAGAATGACCCTTTGATTATTACATCAGGTGACTGTTAAACAGACTTGTTAAAAACCTATTTCCAAAGTTAAAGGTCCAGTGTGTAATATGTCTGAGGATTGAGTGACAGAAATGTAATATAAGATCCATAACCATGTTTTCACTGGTGTATAAAGACCTTACATAATGAACCGTTATGTTTTTATTACCTTAGAATGAGACATTTATATCTACATAACCTTCAATGGACGTCGCCATGTTGCACTGCCATGTTTCTACAGTAGCCCAAAAAGGACAAACAGCTCTAAAGAGCGCACAGTGTAGATGCTTATCACTATGTTGAATAGTTACGTTTGAAGAGGAATAAGTAATAATATGCAGTCAGTAAATAAGTTTTGCATCGGAGCAATTTTTTTATCCATTAGATGGTGGGTGAGAATATAAGGCAAAATTTGAACTAATATTATGGTGTTAGGTCAGTTAGTAAAGCGCAGGACTCTCACCTAAAAGGTTGTGTGTTTGATCCCACTTTCCCCTCTTCACATGCTCACAATAAAGCATGTGCTGCAGTGTGTGTGTTCCGGTGTTTGATCCGCATCCATCAAGCTACGGACACTTTTTCATTCACCCAGTATCTCCAGTAATAAATATAATTTATTAATATATTTGTCCTGTGTCAGCCACTGTAGCTATCCTCTGCTCTTTGAAGGCGGGGGGCGGTAGACTAGACAGCGCCAGATGAGGCTAAATCTTACACACTTAACCTTTAAATACGGTGAGTCCTGATAATCTAACAATCTAAAAAATATATTTCTCACAGTGTTAACTGAAGATGCTAGCCTACTCTTATATCCATCAATCATTTTAACTCAGCTCTCCTCCGGAATCAATGCCAGCTTTACAACCGCAGAGAAGCTAAGACTAAATATGAAACAATCACTGGGAAATTACTCTCTAAAACTGGGCCGCTTTGGCTCAGAAGAGCAGATCGTCCATTGAGTTCAACATTTGATCCCAGGTTCTTCTTGTCTACATGTGTCCTTGAGTAAGACACTGAACCCCAAATTGCTCCTCGTGGTTTGACCAGGGCTTGTTCTTTCACCATTTGTGTGTGTGTGTGTGTGTGAGTGTGTGAGTGTGACTGTGCATGAATGATTGAGAGCTCAACAGCGTGTGCTTGAAGGACCTGCAGATGCACATAATACATTCCGGTGAGTAACACTGAATGCAAACAGAAACTACAAGATAACTCCACAGGGCACATTATACAGTGAGGCTTAGAGCACTTTGGCATTAGAGGTAACCAGTAAAGTTTCATTAAAAAAATTAATGACACTCAATCTAGGGCTGGGTGTAAAATATATTACACAATTTTTTCCTTTGTTTGCTATTAAGGGGACATTTCTTTGATAAAAGATCTTAATTTTGTCAGAAATCATGTACCTTCATGAGAGTTTGTCAAACATCAGTCCCTGGATCCTCATCCCCTGGTGGCAAATATGAATGGCTGACACTTGATCTTGACTTTCTATTAAGGCTTGTGTGGATATACTGAACAGTGACATTGAGTTATACTCATAAAATAATAATATAATAATGAAAGCCTAGTGCTTTAAAGATTACGGGATGCAGCTGACAATAAAGGGAATAGAGGGAACCGGAGATCACAGGTCATCTGGTTTGTAATTGAAATGCAAATTAACTGAAGTTTTGGTGCAAAACCTTCTTCATCAGAGTTGTTGCTATGAGGAAATTTAATTTGCACATTCCCTAAAGAATTTCTTGATGTTCTGTGTGCTCTAGTTTTCACCTCTACAGGGGTGAGTTAAGCCAGTTTTTACTTTAGGTGTCTTATAAAATTGCAGCAACATATCTGGCTCAACTTCCCCCAGGTCTCAAAATACCCCATCCCTGCCATTTTAATAAAATTGTGTCATCCAGCTATTGTAACTTCCTAAAGCACTACATATGTGTAACGTTTTCTCAAACCTGTCTGTAATTGTTCCGACATAAGAATCACAACAAAAATGATTTAGGTTCTTAAATGTGCTTATCACTTATTCCATGGGCCTTTCTCCATCACAGGATGAGTAAAATGGATGACTATTGGTCACACATTGGTGTGGTCACATGACCTATTTTGTCCATGGTTGTCGAGTAAAATGTATTGCATACAAGACTAAAAACTGTCTGAATTGTCAAAAATAAATTGACAAACCATCAAGCATTTATGTACACTGCACTCAGATGAGCTTATGATATGGTTCTCTATCTTTTTTTCTTAAACTATGTTTGTTGTGTTGGATAAAAACACAATAATGGCACAGCTGCTTCGAGCATGTACTGCATTCATCACTGTGTGCGCCCAGCATTCTGTCCCTGACTGAAGGCAGTGGGGGATTAAGCACTGATCCTTCCATCCCGACAAACACCCCTAACACTGATGTGATGCCAGCTTGGCTGTGATTAAAAGTCTGTGGTTACTGGTAGATCCTCTGGTGGTTACTAGTTATTGATGTATAAATGTAACATGCAGGCCTGAGTCTGAAAACATTATACTTTCTCTCCAACACATTTCAAGCTATGTGAATAAATGCAATGTGAGGATGGATGTTTGAACTTGGTCTTCAGTTGCAAAGAATGGTAGTGAGATTGCTTTCTCAATGGAAATGTCCAAGTTTTATGTTTGAGGTTTTCAGATTGATCGAAAGACTACATACCCCGTTATAGGTTAAGAATGTTGGCCAAGGTTTCAGCCTAGTAAAACCATTACAAAGCACCTGGAATTCTAAACATACGTGGTTTTTACACCTCCCAACATCGTCAACATAAGTTGTATACATTTTGAATTGTAAGGCCAGGGACTAATGTGTGCCCAGTTGCAGACATGGAGGAAGTTTAAAGGTAAAAAATCACAGAGGTTTATATGACACTACTGCTGCAAGATGTGCAATGATGAGCTTCAGGTGGAGAATTTCCATGCGTGGGCAGGCAGGCATTAGCAGGGTGAATAGACAAACAAGGCGGACAATGGAGCACTCTTGTTTATTTTTTAATTGCATTAACACATTCACTAAATCATGGTTCAACATGTATTATGAAAACAAAGAAACCATCAGTCTAACTTGGATGTTTCCTCTTCCAGTTTGATGTCAGGACTGGCAGCCCTCGACGCCAAGTGTTCCAGTCGGCTTGGTCTGATCACAGTGTCTTATTACCTGTGGACCACCTTTGTGGCCGTGATAGTGGGGATCATCATGGTCTCTATCATCCACCCAGGCGGTGCGGCCCAGAAAGAGGACTCTGAGGACAGCGGCAAGCCTATCATGAGTTCTGCTGATGCTCTGCTGGACCTCATCCGGTAAGACCATCATAACATCCATCTGACTATAAATTTGCAGAATGGCAAGTTTATTTATATAGCACATTTCAGCAGCAAGATGATTTAAAGTGCTTCACACAAAACATCAAACGATTTGAGACAAAGTGCAAAAGAAACACACAACAAAAGGAGATTTAAATACATTTATAAAAAGTAGTCAAAGAGCTAAGAGAATAGAAAATAAAATAGAAGCTAAAATAGAATAATACAAAAATAAAATATACTTCTTTAATAAAAGGCAGCAAGCATGCAGTTTTCTGGGAGTTTGTTCCAGATACATGGTGCATAAAAACTGAATGCTGCTTCTCCATGTTTAATTTTGACGCTGGGGACACAAAGCAGACTTGATCCCAGACCACCTGAGAGGTCTGGATGATTCACAACGTAGCAGAAGATCACAAATGTCTTTTGGCCCTAAACCATTCAGTGCTTTATAAACTGCAGCATTTTAAAATCAATTCTTTGACAGACAAAAAGCCAATGTACAGACCTCAGAAATGGAGTGACGTGATCCACTTGTTTGGTTTCAGTGAGGACTCGAGCAGCAGCGTTCTGAATCAGCTGCAGCTGTCTGATAAATTTTTAGGGAGACCTGAATATATCAAGGATTTATGCTTTATTTATTCTTAAGGTGATAGTAGGCTGACTTTGTAATCATCTTAATGTGGCTGTTGAAATTCATGCCTGAGTCCATGACTACACCAAGATTTCTGTCTTGGTCTGTGGTTTTTAACATTGCTGATTGAAGCTGGGTACGGACTTTTAATCATTATATTTTGCTCCATAAAGTACCTCAGTTAAGTCTAATTGGAGAACATTCTGGCACATCCAATCATTGATTTGTTCAGTACAATTACTCAGGGCTTGTATTGGATCACAGTCCTGGTGATGTAAAAATGTGTTATCTGCATAATTATGGTAACATAATTAGTTGTTTTCCCTAATTATCTATAGACACACAGTTGTCCCTGCCCTTTAGGAAACAGAACAGTTTAGTACCGTGCAAGAAAGTCCCTCACAGGTTTTCAATCAGTCTAGAAGTCTTTATCATGTGAAGTGTTCCATTAATCAGTGACTTCAGGAAATGCATTGTTAGGTCTGTGGTCTGAAATAGGTCTTTCAAACTCCATGCCCCTAGTATATAATGAAATCCATGGTGTCAAAGCCTAAACTGAGATAAGTTATCAACATCAATTATTTTCTCTGACGTAGTCACTGCCCTGCAGAGCCACTGAGGACACTATACAACTGGTTTCATAGGCTAGGAGTAGTGCTCCTCGTGACGAGTAAACTAAACCTCATGTGAGTTCCGCTTAAGGGCACTGCATGATTGAGCTCGATCAACCCAAATATTTGTATCCCCACGTCCAACAAATGAACACAAATCAGATGTTGCTGAATTTTCATATCTGTGCACAGACGCAAACTCTAAAAGGATGAGAAAGTTGACGTGTTTGCGAACCAAAATCCTGTAGGACGTCTGGGGGCAATTTTTTCTGTGCACTCGCAGTATGCCCTTTTATATCGGGATATATAAAACAACAATTGAACATGTATGCAAACAAATTTGGGTGGGGGGTTTGGGGGTCCTCCCCCTGGAAAATAGTCTGTTTTCCAATAAGAAATGTGCAATTTCATATCATTTTGGAAAATAATTATTACCATATCTGTGTACAAAAATGTTGTAAAAGCTAGAGCAGATTATAAATAAACAACTTGCAAAAGAAGTCTACTGGGGAGGAATTTTAACCATTAGATCTGGTAAGTCATTTAGTTAGTTTTGATGCTCTCCACATTTTAAATTGGGTTATTAATGTTTGCCTTTTGTGTCATAATTTACTGTTTTTTACATTAATTGGTAAAAATTTACATAAACATTTTCCGTAATTTTGTATAATTACGACACATTTCATTAGTACAAAGAAATGTCTCCTCATTCGCTTCAAAGGTTACTAGTTTGTTACTAAGCTCAGCTCCTCCATTGTCACCACCACCCTTTCTTTTCCTAACAACCAGAAAACTGAAATACAGTTTAAGGATCAGGATGTACAATATTTGTACAGGACATAGTTTTACAACAGTTTAGTCCAAGTTGTACCTGAGGTTCTCAACCCTGGACCAGTAAGTAACGTTAGTAATGACATGCAGCTAATTAATGTTACTTCTTATAAATAATGTAGCTTAAATAGCTCACATTACAGAGCAGCCAAAAAACGTTCTGTTAGTTTTCCTGCTCAGCTTCCAGACTGGAGTCTGAAGCACAGTGGAGATGTTTGCTGTTGTTCACTGCCTTCCAGCGGTGTACGGTAGTAACAACGGGCCCCAGTGTAGGCTGTTATGATGGGCCCTTGGGCTACACCGCCGAAGCACACACAAACACACACACTGCGTTTGTGTCTAAAAGGGAACACTGTATTGGCAAATGTATGTGCCTTATTTCCTCATTTATGTATTATTTCCATATTAACATATTAAATTCAACACATGGCCAGCTATAGCGCACACATCCACACAATTAAACAGGTAGGCCTACTCAGCTCCACTGAGCTAAAAAAACTATTAACATAGGCTTTAATACTTTTTAAAACCTTTACTCAATTAGGAGTTTATTGATGGTGGGAAAGAGGTTACCATAAAGTTAGGGTGTACTCACACAAGGCTGTACCGTGCCTGAGTATGTTTAACCCCCAAAGTTCGGTTCATTTGACCAGTGTGATCGCTCCACGCCGTGCCCCGTGCACAGTACGCTGGACTCCGCTTGAAGAGGTGGGCTTGTGCACAGTAGGTACTAGAGCACGAAACTCAGACATAAATAGATGGTTGTGTCTCCAGTGATTACAAAATCTCATTCATCACTATAATTCATTGATCAATAATGACAAATACTGCTTCTTATCACAAATAAGTATTATGTTTGCAGTTTTTTATTTCTTATTTTAAAGGGCTTGTTATGTGTTGGTACACCAAATATTTAATTTAAAGACATATTATGCCTATTAATTGACCACACCTCAACACCTCTTTCTTCTCTTGTTGTAAATATAGCATTTTTGGTGGGTGTAGAAAAACACCAAATTTAAAATGAATTATTTCTGTCCTTGTCTGACATCCCCACACCCATGAAAATAAAAAATATGTAAAAGTGTAGCTTTATTTTAAACAACAATTTATCACTGTCATGCCATGTGTAACTTTTAGGTTATGTCTTTGGTTTGGATGAAGTTGAGTAATGAGTGTTAAAACACTTATCAGGTAATTTAGGCAAAACCAGAAAGATACTGCAGGTGTGCACCTCTGCTCAGTTTGTTTGGCAGTGAGAGTGATTTCTATGCAACTGAAATAGAGTCATTTCAAAACTGGCCATATTTGTGACTTATCTTGTGTTGAATTCTAATCCAATTTCCATCTATGTTTTGTCAGCATTATTTCCCAAGTGATTATTAATACTGCTCAGTGTTTTACTTTCTTACTGATCCATGTTGCTAAATATGACAAGAAACAATCTGTGTTCTTACACTAGAGCTGTAGAGCTCAGTAGAAATACATTTCATTATACATACAAATAATTGTATGCTTTGCACATGATGGCACAATCATCCATCCATCCATCGTCAGCCGCTTATCCTGCGTTCAAGGTAACCGGGGGGCTGGAGCCAATCCCAGCTTACATCGGGACAGGTCGCCAGTATGGCACAATCATAATATCAGGAATTATTTGTTAGAAAAGTTTGACCAAACAGTGGAGTATCTAATTTATGAGGACATTAATTGCTGACTGGCCCCTACAGTGGATGTAGAGGATACTTTGTGATACTTGTGACCACAATTACTACTTAGTGACCATGGAATTAGAGTGTAGCCTCTTTGTTTTATTTTATTTGATTAGAAGGTAAAACATACCATTGAAGTACTGTTACTGTCACACCTCATTCCCATGTTCACAAAAAATAACTTCTCACTAAGTAATAACACCTTTCTAGAGCAGACGTCATCCTCACAGCATCCTAGTTTTTCAAACTGTGTGGATTTGCCACAAATCCTGAGGAAGGATTAAAAACATTGGTTGTCTTAAGCTTTTTGGTTCCCATATTTAGGGATGACTTCATTGTTGACTACAAAAATTTAATCTTCTTAAATAGAAGATGTTACTCAGTTTCTCAGACCCAGTACTAGTAAACAGGACTATTAATGGTCACCTGTCATAAATTGTGTCTCTGCTAGTATTTTTTTTGGTAGTCTAATCCTAGCATTTTATTTCATTCTGTTGGTTGAATAATAGGGTGAGTCCAGGACATTAATCAGACAGTGCTGAGCTGTGTAGGCAGGCTGAATAGATCAGCAGGTGGCCTTAAGAATGCAGTCAGTATAAACTTTAACGGTGGTTCAGCTGCTTCAGAAAAGCATGTTTGGAAGTGTAATTATAAAGCTGATCACAAAAAAAACTCAACCCAACACGTTGTCAAGACTACATTGAAAAATTGTCACCTTACATAGGTGATACTGTATGGCAAACCTGCCTGTTTACACATTAAGCAAACTAGGAGCAACATTAGTGTTCATTTGGGGTCATGTTTCCAACCACTTGATTAATGTTAGTCTAATATTCTTACTTTTCTTTCAATAAAGTGAGGAGCAGAGAGAAATGGTCTGTTTAGGCCATTATTGTCAGACCGGATATAGCTTATCCTACTTTATACATCCCTCTTGCTCCAAACAGCAGGGTGTCTGGTGGGTAGAGTGCAGTGGATGGTTTTAAAAATGACTGGTTGGAAAGCAACTCCATAGTTATGTGGGATTAAAAGTTTAGGTTGGGCAACTACAGGTATTTGGATGATTGTTAGAACGAGGTTTTGGTCTTGGTTAAATAAACCAAATTTGGATATACTGTCTCACAGCAGAAACCCGTCAGCTACAGTATATGTTTCAGTCAAATGAACCCCCAAAGAAGCCATAAATTGCAGAATATAATATCTGCAATAAGTAAATAAGTAGGAACATGATGTGAGGTCAAGTCTGCCGAGTAGGCACTTGAAAGTTCTGTATTGCACTACTTCAGCAACTGCAGTCAAATGGACCAGCAAGAGTGCAATTTATTTCATGATCTGGTTTGTTTAGGCAGGAGGGTAAATGTCACTGGATTGCAGGATAATTGTTTACCCTGGAGCCACGATAGAATTATCATTCATTTTGTTTTTGTTTTTTGTACACTGTAAAAAAATTACAGACCCATTTAGTTATGTCAACTTGCTTCTTTTTTAAAAACTCATATAGCTCTGATTTTTTGGATTTTGAACTCAACTGCATAAGTTTTAGAAAGTTAAACTTGCATTAATTCATTCTGTTGAGTATTTGAGACTTTTGTCATGTTGATTGAACTTTTGTATGTAAGTTATCAGTTTGGGAAAAAAAGGCGAGTATGTGGAGATGGGAGCAAGAGAAAAAAGAAGTGCTGCGTCTTTTGAGTGTGAGAGAAATATATACATACTCAACTAATTATTAGGGTTGAGCGAGTATTCAGTTGAAACGAGTAGCCGGTACAGATACCTTTACCAGTACTAATATCATCAGAGCAAAACATGTCAATATTTGTTTTGTATAAACCATATATAGGAACCTTTTCAAAAAATCAGTTACTATTGTGATCAAAAACATTGCTCTGATGCTCAATTCTGCTGTCCTGAAAATAGTTTTCTAATGAATAAAGCAACTGCTGATTAACCCATACCACTTCCAGTTAGTCCCACCCATTCCATGAACAGATACAGAACATTTGATTTGTTTAACAGATACAGATGCAGTAACAAACTGGCACATCGCAAGCCCTTGAAGATAACAGTTCAGCGGTGCTGTTGTTGTGGTCTGTCTTCAAGGCCCTTTTTACATGTAAACAGACAAAATTTGGAATTTAAATCCCCTTAACTTGAAATGGAAAGTAGTGTAAAAGTGATTAAGTTGTTTTAACTTGAAACTGTGATGTTAGAATAACTCAAAGTATGAAGTTAAAGATATAAAAAGTTAATTTAACTAAAAAAACAAGACAACTTTAACACTGTAGTTATGTCAATTTTGTGAACTTGAATTTGTTAGTTGAAACAAAGGCAATCTTCAAATTGAGTTAACTTGCATTTTCCAGGCAGCAGGTGAACTCGTATTTCCAAGTGAAAGTAAGAATTGTATGTAAGAAATGTTCTAGAATTGTATAGGGTTGTTTGTTTGACAAGAGAAAGCAAGTTTCCTTGAATGGACAATGTAATATAGAGAGTTGTTTTAACTCACAGTATCAATTTCAAACAATAAATGATCATTAATTAAACAAATTGTATAATGTAACATCATGAGTTGAAACAAAGCTTTTCTTAAAGTTTACTCACATTTTTGAGGCAGCAATTGAGCTTAAGTTTTTAAGTTGAACCACCTTGATAATTTTTACAGTGTATAAATGTGAGCGTTTATGTCTACTGCCACCACCACCCCTCCTAGAGAGAGGTTACAGTGTGAGAGCTGCACTGTTCATATGTCGATTCCTGCTCTGTAGCACCAAAACACTGGGCTGTTATATGGGAACCCCCTAACTATGACTATTCATTTTTATTTACAGTATGGTATTTTTACCATTCTTTGTGAGTGTTTTAATAAGTGTGTATCTTTGCCTTGCAGCAACATGTTCCCATCTAATCTGGTTCAGGCCACATTTCAGCAGGTAAGACCTGCTGATATCACACAGCGCTTGCAAACACATTGGCTTTTTTGGGACTTAAATTTGCTGCTTTTGTTTCTATTCCCTGGAAACAGTATCGAACAAGTAGCGAGTACATTGTGAAAACCAAGCCAACGGTGAGCAAGGCCCAATCAGAGTCCACCACACGGCGAGCACTCATCTATGGTATCCAGGATGATAATGGAACTGACATCCAGAACTTCGCTCTTGACCTGACTCCACCTCCTGATGTGCTCATACGTACTCGGGAAGGAACAAGCGATGGAATGAATGTCCTTGGAATTGTAATCTTTTCTGCCACCATGGGTAAAAGTCTGCATAACTCTAATTTGAATTCTAATGTGTACCTTTTGTCTTCAAGTAGAATTTCTCATTAAAAATGAAAATGCTTTCACTTTTATTTTTAAGATTGTTCTGTATATTTTCACAGGGATCATGTTGGGAAGGATGGGGCCAAATGGCAGCGCCTTGGTAAACTTCTGTCAGAGCCTGAATGAGGCCGTCCTTAGAATTGTTGCCATTGTCATATGGTATGGATTTCTTTAAAATACTATTTAGCTTTAGGAAGCTATGGACAGGTTTCCCTTATACAAAAAAGTATGCACATGCAGCAGGAGATTTAAAAATTAATCGCTACGATGTTATGATAGCTTATATATGAACATTTTCAGTATTACAAAGAAACTTTTTACCAGTTTCCTTATAAAAAAAACCTTTTTATTGTATGTGGAATAAGGTGACCAGATTTCTGAAATGAAATTTTTGGTTTGGTGGTCAGTATGTGATTAAAAATTATTATGTAATAAAAAAGGGGGGCAATTTTGGTTTTATAATCTGTTAGATATACTTCTTCAGAATGAAATCAAGTCATTTTGAAACAGATTCTACCTTTCAGTCAATAATAATATATATATATAATAATCACTTTCTGGGAAGTGGAATACTGCATTTTATGGGTTGAGTTTACCATTAAAGTTATTTCAACAGGTAAAAAGGTCTGGTTTGGTTGAGACACAGGAAGTTAAATAATGTAGAGTCATAAGGATAATTACAAAAGAGATCATGTCTTTATTTTATATATAGCTCAGCAGTAAGTCATGTTAATTATAGGCTATAGTCTGGTTTCCAAATATAAACAAGGATATAGGCCTACCAAACACATAATCCATCGAGTACAACAGGCTTCTATTATTGCCTATAATCACATAAATGTCAGACTATATTTACTTATTTTGCCACAATTGTGATTGTTCTGTTGAAAGAAACGTTAAAGTATCACAAAGAATACCTTACCTTTGCTATCACCACGAACATAAAGTGAAGTTTGTTTGTACGTCATGTCTGTTTGATCCAGATAAAAGCAGCTGTAGTTGTAAAGAGACTGTGTGATACAGCTTTAACATGCTGCGCGAGTCTCCCATGGACGGCATTTTTTTTGGCACACCTGTATGCTCTGCTGTCTGCAGTCTTTCTGGCCGTGTAAAATCAGATTCCAGGTCCGCTAACACCTTAAACAGTCTATAATTAACACACAGTTTAAAACAGGGACTTTTCCAGGGACAGCTCCAGACGAGGACAGGCCACCAAAACCGGGGACTGTCCTAGGAAAACGGGGACATCTGGTCACTCTAATGTGGAAATCATCAGCCACCATAGACTGTATATAAAAATGCCAAACTGATAGACATCTATCAGCTTTGTCTAGCTAACATGACACACATAATTACAGTGATAATGCTAAGCTAGACTACTAGCTTTAAAGGTAGTGAGAAATTCATTCTAATTCGCAATTCGCAAAAGCATTGATCATAGAGGCTGAGACATGTTTGCAGTATTATTTAAACATCCATAAGCATGAGCTGTCTTACCATAACCCCTTGACCCTGATTGTCGTGAATTTACATCACACCTCTTCCTTTCAGACTACAGCCAAGATATAGCACAGGATTCCCCCAATGCCTGTTTGTGCATGTTCGATACGTACCTAGGAACCTTTTTCAAGCCCTAGTTTCTCGTTTATGCCTGATGTCACTAATTTGCATCATACCTACATCATACCTGAATTTATATATTTTCTGTGTTCAATAGACAAATTAACAATCTTTACTTATTTAACATCAGCCTGAAAGCAAATGAAAACACAAATAATTTTTAAAATTGTTTTATTGTAAACAAATTCAGGTGTCATGGGGTTAAAGCAGTTGTTTGCTTAGTTGCTGTGTAAACCAATCAGCCACCTTTTTATAAGCCATGGCCCCGATCAGATTACTCTTAGCTGAAGGTGAGATTTCCTTGTTTGCGATACCACTTTTGCACTGCCGCCCCACACTCGTAGTACTAGTTTCATGGTAACATTGCTTAGAAACCTGCCTATAGGTTCACTAACATCTCAGCCCCGATTGCTGACTTTGAGCTACTCCTCGTCCTGGCAGGTACTTCCCGTTTGGCATCGTGTTCTTGGTGGCCGGAAAGATCCTGGAGATGAGTGATCCCTCGGCCATGGGGAAAAAGTTGGGTTTCTATGCCGTCACTGTGGTGTTTGGTCTGGTGTTACATGGATTGTTCATCCTGCCTGCCATGTACTTCTTCATCACCAAAAAGAGCCCCATCGTTTACATACGGGGAATACTACAAGCACTGCTCATCGCCCTGGCAACCTCTTCCAGGTAAAGGAAATTACTGCAGAGAAAACAAACTTAATTAATTAAAATGTTGTTTAAATTGATGTGTAAAAAGAAAACATCAGTTTATTTTCTCATGTGTGAATCAAACTTAAATATCTCTGCACCACATTTCCTTTCCTATCCATTTACTGGAATATTACCACGAAAAGCCTCAAAGGGATGTTGGGAGATCAGAAAACATCTGGTGTGTGTGGGAAGAGATGGAATGTAAATGAGCATTCCATGCGTTTGATTCGATTGGCACTTATCCATTGGTTGTTTAGGTCTGCATGTATGCATGCACATGTTTTTGTTAGTGTGTGATAGAACTGGACTTGTGAATTTTAATGACAGTATCGATGTTTTTGCATGTTCAATTTAGCAGTTACCACAGTTCAGTGTGTTAAATTTCGGTTTGGTTTCACTTTCAACCCATACAGAAATGAATAAAACCAGTGACTGCCTGGAGGGTAGGAAAACAACTAACTGAAAATCTGAAACACACATCGTGCTTTGGAAAATGCTCCTCAGCAATGTAAAGTTATGTGATTTGATGTGAATTAGTTAAAACAACAAAAAAAACTGGTCTGTTACATTTTTTTCACATTACATGTGAAAAGAATCCATGCTTGTGTGGCAGACTGGAGTAGGCAGTGTGTATTTACCTTGTGGTGCTGGTATTTAGTGTTTCTTTGTTTTAGCCAAACCATGGCCAGAGTAACCGCCTGCTGCAGTGACCAGTCAGCTCAGATCATCAAAAAGCATCTGCCTGACCTTTGAATGTTCTGAGCTCTGTGTCATGTTCTCTGTCTTCCTCAGCTCTGCCACATTGCCTATAACCTTCAAGTGCCTCCTAGAGAACAACCACATTGACCGCCGCATCATCCGTTTTGTGCTTCCTGTGGGCGCCACCATCAATATGGACGGCACCGCTCTCTACGAGGCTGTGGCAGCAATATTCATCGCACAAGTTAACAATTACGAGCTGGACTTTGGCCAGATCATTACCATCAGGTTAGTGGACCGTGCAACACACCATCTGTGCTTCTAAGATCATTAACATGCTAAAGATATCAGTGGGATATACAACAACAAAAAAATCCTTTACACTGAATAGTAGAAGTACATTATCCCATATATATGTCTCTGGTTTTTAAAATGTCCACTCAGACTTTTTTCAAATGTCTGTGATTTTCTGACATGAACAGTTGAAGATCTAGGAAGATAGCGCTCATCAGGAAGATACTAATCATTCACACACACTCACAATGTGGGGTTCAGTATCTTGCTCAAGGACACTTCATCATGCAGACTGGAGGACCTGGGGACTGAACCACCAACCTTCTGATTAGTGGATGACCTGCTCTACCTCTAACCCACAGCCAAAAATGCTAGTGTTAAACTTGACACATAAGCAGAGTGTGGAAGTCAAGACTGATGATGGATCTGAGGTTCTTTCATGTTTTAGTCATGCTGTTATATGAGCATCAATTGTTTTGAGTCATTCTGACAATGTGCCATCAAATCAAAATTGTAACAAATCAAACAACAAACATGGGTGAGCTTGCCCAGTCTTAAAGCACATGCAGAAGAGTCAGCAATTGCTAGCAAGGTCCTGTCCTTCATTAAGCAATCCAAGAAATCACAGTAAACATATCGAAGGTCGTTGATGAGCAGCAGAACCCACTGTTTGAATATTTCAGGCGAAAATAATGTTGCTTAAAAACTTCAAATAAGTAGTGAAGATAGCCTGAGACCAGGCTAAGAAGTGGATTCAGGTGATTCACAAGGAGATACAGAAGATGGCTGATCCAACATAATCTCAAAAGTAGAAGCAGGGAGAATACATTGATATAAATGTCTTACCTTGGGCAGACACATTATCTTCAGGTGGAACCCACAGCTGGGAGTATAAAGTCATCCCAGGCCTGTACAACATCTTTTTCATCAACTGTTATAACAGTTAATATAGTTTGGCATTAAGTAGAGAGAGTCAGAATAGAAAGAATATCCAGGATAACACTCTTTCTTCTTGTTTCCTTAATTACTTGACCCATGATGTTTTCATCCGCTGTAGTACACTAATTGTCTGCCCCAATCATAGACAGGCTACATTGTGTTTAAAGGTTCGGTATTTACTTTAATAAAAATAACATTTTTTAATATTTGCTGAAACTGTCACTGCATACCATGACAGTAGCACATGAGACAGATAATCTTTGATGATAACGTGGTTCCTCTGGCTCCTCCCACTGCTCCTTATGCCATTTACAAAAATCCACCACGACCGACTCAAAACAACCAATCAGAGACAGGAGGAGTCCGTAACGCAGTGTCAGTCACTGCTCATGCACACACTGTGTAATCCACCTCCTCACGTATGCTCTCATTCACGTTGGAGG